AGTTGTGTGTTCTATGTTACTGTGTTAGTTCTATGTTACTGTGTGTGTTCTATATTACTGTGTTTGTAATCCGAAGTTGTGTGTTCTATGTTACTGTGTGTTTGTAACCCGAAGTTGTGTGTTCTATGCTACTGTGTTTGTAATCCGAAGTTGTGTTTTCTATGTTACTGTGTGTTTGTAACCCGAAGTTGTGTGTTCTATGTTACTGTGTGTTTGTACCCCGAAGTTGTGTGTTCTATGCTACTGTGTTTGTAATGTGTGTGTTCTATGTTATTGTGTGTTTGTAATCCAAAATTATGTGTTCTATGTTACTGTGTATGTTCTATGTTACTGTGTTTGTAACCCGAAGTTGTGTTTTCTATGTTACTGCGTTAGTTCTATGTTACTGTGTTAGTTTTATGTTACTGTGTTTGTTCTATGTTACTGTGTGTGTTCTATATTACTGTGTTTGTAATCCGAAGTTGTGTTTTCTATGTTACTGTGTTAGTTCTATATTACTGTGTGATGGTAGTCCGTTGTTGTGTGTTTTATGTTACTGTGTGTGTTCTATGTTATTGTGTGTTTGTAATCCGAAATTATGTGTTCTATGTTACTGTGTGTGTTCTATGTTACTGTGTTAGTAATCCGTAGTTGTGTGTTCTATGTTATTGTGTTAGTTCTATGTTACTGTGTTAGTTCTATGTTACTGTGTGTGTTCTGTATTACTGTATGATGGTAATCCGAAGTATTGTGTTCTATGTAACTGTGTTTGTAATCCGAAGTTGTGTGTTCTATGTTACTTTGTGTCTGTTATGCTAATCTGATATTTTATGTTTAGGACCAGACAAGGACGTGGACCAGGCAGCACGCTTCATTCAGAGAGATTTCCAGAATCAGAACCATAATCCGTCCAAGGTGGTATATCCCCATTTCACTACAGCAACCGACACAAGTAATATACAGGTGGTGTTTCAGGTCGTAATGGACTCTATCCTCCGACAAAACCTCAACATCAGCGCCCTCTTATAGCAGGACCTGAAATCCAGCCTCTAGACAAATCATCATCAGCGCGCTTCAATGGCAGGACATGAATCCAGCCGCCGACAAACTTTAACGCGCTCTAATGACATTAAATATGATCTCACAATTTATGTGATGTTCCTAGCCGAATGTGACATTGGGAGCCTCTTTACTGGAATGCCTGTGCTTTATAATTGCTGTGGTTTATTAATGTGTATCGTGAGGCCTCGATTCAATGTAAATATGGCGCCTTCTACAATGTACAGTGTGTATGTGTAATATACATATTGGTTGAATGCATTTTGGTCGTGGTGCAATGCTTTCATACAAATTCATATTGTTAACTAAAACGCGCATTATTATTTCATTTGCATGATGGTGAATATCGTCAGTTAGCCCTGGCGTGGCAGAGTGCTCTCCCGTGTGTTTAAGTGTGGAAGTCTGAAGATCGTTAGAGTTATCTCTCTTTAATAAAGTGAGTTCAGCCTCATACCGTATCACAAAGTAATGCATAATAAAGTGAGGTTTACGCAATAAAAGTCACTGGCAGTGACAATCAATCTATAGCATACCGTTGTTTGTGTTATCAGGTAGGCTATTACATACAGACATAGTTACAGGTAATATCATCAGGTATACTGTTATATATACACACACCGAGATAGACGGTTACATGTAATCTTACGTTATATTCACCGAAACTTCGCTTACTCTCAGAAATATAGCTAGCCTTGCGACAAAGCATGCTTTAAGTACAATCACCCTGACATATCGCTGAAGTATCTCCTTGGTAACTGACTTATCTTTTGTCCGACATATTTAATTAAAGGGTACGAGACTGGTACCAGACCTGATATTCCTCGGCTATCGGCCAGAACCTCGGCTATCTATACATAGTTCTATTACGGCACACTCCTTATACGGCAATGAAACCTTCACAACTAACGTATAGCTGCCTTTAAGATAACGCTAGATTTTCTCCTAAAATCTCGTATCCCACGTTAACGCTCAGATCAAATTTCTCCAGTGAGTTCCTGCTCGTGTCTCCATTTCTCCTGAATGCTCTCCATTAAAGTACCACCGACAACCCTGGGAGAGATTGGCTTGGTCTGCCGTATGATCAAGTCGGAATGTTGTCTAAAGACCTAACTGTTATATCTACAAATGACCATTGCGTTCGTCTCTAAATCAGACAGGCATGTAACATTATCACCAGGCGATATGGACAGGGACTTACATAGGAGTGCAACTATATCATCATGTACTTACGTTGATGGTACAAAAATATACCGACAGAGACAAATATTACACAATGTACCGACATAAACATTGATGATACCACAGTGTACCGACATTAACATTGATGATACCACAGTGTACCTACAAAGACATTGATAATACCACAATGTACCTACATAGACATTGATAATACCACAGTGTACCTACATAGACATTGAT